GCTGATGTTGATCCGCTACGTAGTAACACTACTCCCGGATCTGTGCGCGGGAGCTCGAGGGCCGGATCTGGTGCGTGCCAATGCATTCTCAGATCTGATCAAAGAGTCCAGGTCCCATGGACGATCCTGAAGATGTGTGAAGGGGCGTGAAGATGGAGATCAGCTTTTGGAAGAATGAGCGGAAGAGACTGGTCTGGAGGTGGAAAGGGAGAAATCCCAGAGTTTGGATTGGTGGAGACTTCACATGTCTAACCTGGAGGTTCTTTTCCTTCAAACCATCAACCCAACTCAACAGCTGGAGCCCCAAAAAGTCCGCCACCAAACCCCCAAACCCCCAAGCTTCGGCCATGTCTTCCCCTTTCCCTCCCAGGAACTTCTCAAGGTTTCGGAGTCTTCACCTCCAGTCCACCCGACCACCCCCGCGAACCCCCCACTCAGTGCCTCCGTCAGGGAGCGACGCATGTCGATGGCCCAGGAGTTGTCGCGCGCCTAGAAGCCGAGGTCGGTGAAACCCAGTGACGTGAAGACGGTGATCGTTTGTCCTTTCTGTTCGGCAGATCCTTAGCCTTTGGGGTGCAGAGATTGAAGATGCGGGTGTATAGTAGTTGAACAGCGAAAAGTGGAAGGTGATAGTCCTTGAGGATGGAAGGAAGGTGGTCTTGGAATGAATGAAATCATGGATCTTTTGCACCGATGTCTTGGTCGGTCGGACGTCCGAACGGTCGCGCTGCGAACGCACCCTCTCCCGGTCCCTCTCCCGGTCCCATGGTGGCATAACAGTAGTAGGACTGCGTGGTTCTCTCCCACTGCCTGGTGTATAGAGCCCAAAGGGAGTGCACTCCGTCCAGTCTTCCTCGATGTTCCGGACCGGTCCCGGTCGCCCGACGCCCGACGTCCGACCGATCCAAGAAGCCTCCACAAAAGAGCCCACCCCCAAGCATCCACGAGAGGAGTGCTGGAAAATGGAGGCTCCAAGCCCAAATTGCCAAAGACTCCATGGGACTGCCATAGATGCCGGGACTCCTGAAATGATCGGGAGTCATATGGCAGTCTCATGGAGTGTCTGGGAAGGATGAACTTTTCTGGATGAGATCATCCATTGAGGATGCAATCCACCCCCAACAGCCCACCCAAGCAGAGAGCCTCGAGCGCATGGAAAATGGAGCCAATCCTCTTCAGCTGTTGGTAGAGGTGCTCCCAAATCCTGAGAAAACGCAGCAACTTCATCAACTTCTCCACGCGCGGAACGGGGGGAGGCGCGGTCTTGGAAGTTTGCCGAAGCGAACCTGGGGGGTCACCACATGTGAACACCGTAGGACGAAGACCCCTCCAAACAGAAGGGTCAACACACTGGTTTCTGGAGTTGTTTGAGTCTCACGGATTTGGGCGTCACGTGGACCTAGACCCCTCTGGGTGAAATAACAGCTGCACCTGGAAACCCAGTCCAAGCCAGTAACCAATGGATGTTTCCCGAGTCCAAGCCACTTCCTATGTAGAGGATCTCCATTGCCAGGACTTCCACCACGGGGTTTCCAGGTAGACCCCAACAATGTAAGGTCGGTTTTCTAGACGAGAAGATGAAGTTCACCCCCAAATCGAAGCTGCAGAAGCGAATGCCAACATCCCAGTGCCTGCGCACAAAACAAATATCTCCAACACCTGGAGGTGCCTTACCAACACAACCTCCAGAAAGCAACAACCATCAGGATACAGCATTTTGTACAGGATTCAAAAAAAGGATGTTTTAAAAAAATACAGTATAAGAAATGGTATATCAGTCGTACACCCATCCATTCATTCTATCCGATTCGTTACCCTTCATCCGATCTCTCGATCTCCGACTCTGGGCGTCTCCGGCATCTCCAACACCGGCACCTTCCGTGGGTCCAAGGGCTCATCGAAGGGCTTCCCCTGACGCGCGCGTGCGCGGAGAGCACTCTCCGAGCACTCGGTGAGCGGCTCTTTGTTCCCCAAGGCATCCATTCTGTTCATTTTCCCTGGTCAACCCAGGTAGCCGGACCCACAACATCTCACAGCCATATCTCGAGGTTTTAAGAGGGGTGTTTCATGACTTTGCGGGAAGGTTTTGGAGTTACTTCAGACTCAGCTTTGGGCCTTTGAGCAAGGGTGAAATCACAGCTAAAGGACCTGAATTGGTACACTTACCACACCACATCCAGATTAAGGACACATCGACTTCCCACAGGCTGGATGGTCAGCCATGTCTGCTTGGTGGTGAATGGTCAGCCAACAACACAACTCAATGGAGCCATCAGCAGTCCCAAACAGCCAACCACATCGACCAAAACTCAGATTATTCCACAGTCATGGTCCATGGTTTTTCGTGTTGAAAAGTTGAAGTGACAAATTTGGGACGCACCCCCAGATGTGTGTGCATTTTTTAATAGCACTCTCAGAACTCTCCACTCTCCCCACCACTCGCCAGGTGTCACACCTCCACAGTCCCCACCTGGCCAGCACCACAATTCTGCCACTCTGATGGATGCACACCTGGCGCACCGTGGATTTCCACGAGCTGATGGAGAGAGCGGGGTGGCGTCGGGTGACCAGGAGGTTCCTGTTGTGCGCATCGCCAAGGGTCGCGGTCGAGCGTGCGCAACGGCAAGTAGACTGTATGACCTAGGGGTCGATCTGTAGGGATCTGCTGGGATCTGTAGGCATCAGGGTTAGCCCGTTGACTCGTTGGGTCGGAATTTTTCACAAACGCCCGTTGACGCGTTGCGTCTGTTCCTTGGGGCAAGGAATCTCAAGGGCGGCACTGGAACAGCAATATCTTTGGGATACTTCTTAGCAGGATTCCACAAAGATGTGGTCTATGACTGGAAACGAGATGGAACCTTTTGACAAATGGAAACCGCTCAAACAAGACCAGACAAGTCTTGCTTTGGTGACTCCCGATGAAAGGACTGGTTCAAGAATTCTGCAAACCGACCGCGATAGCAGGGCCTCCAGATGTTCTTAAGCTGCTCCGGCGTTGCTATGATACTTCAGGGGCAGCATGGCGAGGCTATCACAGCGGATTGGCGAGCAGAAAACTTAAAAAGTGCGCAGGTCGTCCTGCAAAGTCGTTCGTTCGGTCAGCCCGATATCCAAGATGTCGTTCACCTCATCTTCACCTCATCGCCAATCTGCGAAACAACCCTCAACTGATTTGCTCAGGATGGTCCCTTGAGACACCAAATACATACGGGCAAATTCCCTCACTGAACTTGCAGCACTGCCAAGTCTTCTGAAACTGCGAAGCTCTGAGGTCGCCTCGCAGCGGTCGAGCCTCGCCCCAAAAACGTGCTGCTTAGCGCGCATGCGGTGTCTGCGCGGTGTTCGCGCGCGCCTGAAGTCTTGTACAAGTACCAGGAGAAGGTCATGAAGGGATCCGACCTCAGGGTTTCGTCCAAATGCCGGAGAAGTTTGGCGCTGACATTTGACCCACAATTTTTCACCGGAGAAATCGGAACCTTCACTGCCCATTGAAACCCACAAGAAAAGGGCGACCTCCACATCAACGGCGCCTTTCCCCCCTCCTCTTGCAGAAGAGGTCCGCTGTCACGGACCCAGGAAACGGGTCCGCTCAACAGCGCCCAAGCGCCCAACGACCGACCCCGCGTCCGGCCGCGTCGGACGCGTTCCCATCCGTTTCGGTCGATCCCATTCGGTGTCCCCACAAGGCTTGTGGATCGTAACGCCTCAGGAACGGCCGAAGCCGGGGCGGCGAAGGAAGGGGGGGGGACTCTCTGGCGTTGGTGTTCTTCTTTTTTTGCAACACAAGAAGCATAAGTTAAAGCGATGTTTCGAATTGGTTCGTGGTGTAGGAAGGACAATCCACTGGGTTCCATGTCCAATCTCAAAACCAGATCCACTGGGTTGGGATCCAGAGGTTGTCATTTTGGCAATATAGCTCAGCCCCCCAAAAAAAGCTGGGGATGTTCAAGAAAAACCGGATTTGGGTGGTGAAAACCAAAACTATATGATCTAATGAATGGGTCCTCTTGTCCGTCAATATGGCCTCGATGGAAACACCACTACTCACTACTCCAACACCACCAAGAACATGAAAAAGGCAAAAAATATGGAATTGATCCAGAAAGTTACAACTGTTCAGTGCCCAAAGATCAATCCAAAGTGGTCCCCAAATGGATAGTGGCACGGTTTCCAGAAAACTTTTTAGTGGTAATTTACTGTTTGTTCTATTTATTTGGCTGTCTGTATACAGAAACAAGGATCCAGTTCATCTCTATGGATCGTCTGGTCACCTCGAGATGTTCCTCTCTTTCACTCGTGCCTATGCATGGGATGCTGTAATTACCTTGGTTCGTCCTGAGGGTATGGGTATACGTCTGCAAAGACGGGGAGCTGGGTGAACCACTTGGAAAGCGGAAGTCTTGGAAAGTGATCAGGAGGACAATCAGTTGGTCTGGAGATGGTGGAAGTCTTGGGCGGGTATGCACTTTTTCATAGAACTGATTGTCGCTCGGTCGACGTCCCGCTGATCGTCGTTCCCACACGAGAAAAGAGTCCTTCTGAGTCGATAGTCGAAATGGAAAAGAATGGCCCCCCCACGGTCTATAAGTCTATTCGCTCAGGTCGCAGGTCACCAAAGCCACCACTCTTGGTCCACCAAAAAGCCACCAGTGACTGGGTCACCGCTCTGTCATTCACTCAACTGGGGTCAGGTCACTTCAACAAACAAACCCTGCACATGCCGGTGGATCTGACCATCTGGTGGGTACCTCTGGGTGACCCCCCTCCCTGGGGAAGCGGCCCATCGGACCTTATGTGAACCTTATGTGGATGATCGGACCTTCCCAACAGAGGTTGAAGGACCCGACTGCTTCGACTATCCCAGTTGAGTACCACAGGTTACGGGTCCTTTTTCAGGTCACTGGCTACCTCTCTTAGTCTGTGGAAAACCATTTCACCTCCAACTCCTAACTTTACAAAATGTGGTCTACGACGCGACTCTGGGAGTTTATGAGACAATTTTGGGGACAACGGCCTGATTCAGATCCTTTCTCCGATCTCGCCACTCCGCTTTATTCTCTTTTTCGCTTCACATGCTCGTTCCTGCGATGCGCCGTTCCAGCGCTTCGTTTTGCTCCAAGACCTGGCGAATCCTCGGGCGGATGGATGCTTTCTCTGCACGCGGCGAAACCAAGATGGGCTCAGCGGCCGTTCTGCGCGGGGAATGCAGGGAAAAAGGAAGAATGTTTCCTTGTTCTGCAGGTCTTTGATTGTCCAAGATTGTCATGCAGGGAATGTTCCCCCTTTTTCCCTTGTTGTTTGTTTTCTTGGAAGGAACTCCTGGAATGATCCAAGATGATCTACAGATGGGTGACTTTGGTGGTTCTGGGGGCCAGATCATGGGTGTGAGGCCCTATTCTTAGAAGAAGACACTCATGATACTCCTGGGATGTCACACATCAAAGTGCAATTGCAGGTGGTGGAGGAGCTTAGTATATCATCTTGTTTGGTTTTCACCAGCTCGTGCTGGTCCATTCACCACGTGCTGCTTGCAGTGAAGCCACTGTGCTCGGCAGATTTTGATCTCCTCCTCCAAGGAGGCTGCTGCGTCGGAGCCTGCGGAGAAGAACACAGGGTGGTGGAGACACATGGATCCGGCACTCCTCAAATACTTGGATTTGCATAAGGAACCTGGAAGAATATGTTCACACTCCTTGAAATCATGGAAGTGGAGTGAAAACCACCTGTTCGCATAGGATTTCATGGTCATCCTTGCGAGGTGATTTCAGAGAGTGTAAATGGCGTTCTTCTATCCAATTTACTCTTCATGGCGTTTCTACATTCATGGGATATTTGCATAATACTACAATAATATAATGCTGTTTTGTTAGTGAATTCCCATCGGTATCAGGTGTCTATGGGACATCGGAAAAGAAGGTCTCAAAACAAGGACAACCAGGGTGCCTTGGTCAATGAAACCTCCTTTACCAGTGGTTTTGTGGTAAGTGAATGTCCCCGAAAGCAAATGCTTTCTACATCCTGAGTGAGGTAGAACGGACATAGCTGCTTGAGGGGCCTGAACCAGAACAAGCTGTATGGGTGTATGGCGACTACTTGGGTGATGGAATCACGCAGGAAAGGGAGATTAACGTAGTCTTCTCCAGGAAACAAAAAGAAGAACCTTAGTCTAGTAGTTTGGAAACACTTTTTTGGTAGGTGAACATCTTTTTAAAAAAATCAAGAAAGACACTTGGTATGCTCTTTCAACCTCTTTCACCATCCCGGGTCGCGGAGACCTGCCGGTGCCAGCGCTGCGCGGAGCAGCGCTACCTGAGTATGCGCCTCGGCCCGAGCCTGCCGTCGAGTGGCCGAGGTCGTTCGTCAACCGTGGTCGCTCCCCAACATGTGGAGTGACCCAGTCCAACAGGAGTCGCAAGAAATGTCAAAGAGCTGAGTCTGGTTGTCATGCAGCTAAAAAATCTGAAAAATAAATCCGGATGAAGCCACTAAAGAAACTGGCAAGATTCAAGAGAAGACTCTGCGAAATGCATCCAAATCCAGCTTCTTCAATTGCATCCAATTATCGGACAAGCACATCTCCTTTTGAGACCAGGGACTGCTCCCTGCACCTCTGATGTGGTTTTAGAAAAGGACACGCCCGGCCCAACAAAATGGAGGTTGAAGCACACTGGGTTCATCCCTTCTTCCCGAAAATACCACTTGGAAGTCCAAAAGGAGGCATCCTCTCTCCAGGTCAGTCTATCGGAACCCCCCACTTCACTAGACTTTAAGAGCGCCGAGTTAGTTATCCTGCATGGGGGAAACTTCGGAAGGAACGAGCTACTAAATGCTTCGATTCGCCTTGCGCCGCTTTCCCCCCCAAAAAAAGAAGAACACGAGCTCGCGAACGATTTGCACGTGCCTGGAGCTTGGCTGCAAGGTCTCCGCTTAAAGAGGCGTTCTTGGCCACTTGTTCCTGGCGAACGTCTGAGCGCCCTCCGCGGCATCGACCGTTGCTCTGCAGCGGACGTTCTGCAGCGGACGTCCGGGAGAACGTTGATAGCTGTGGCCGGAGGAGGGACGAGGGTGCATCAAGGGAAAGGATTGACAGACCTATTTTAGGGGGAAAAATCTTGGGAAGACCTGGTCATGTTGGGCAAACATTCCCAACAAAACAAAATGTCGGGAGGTTGGGAACTCATCTAGACATTCCCACCATCTGGGGCAGAGGTCATAAAAGCAGCACGCATGTTGGGAAAACCTGGACTCTGGACCTAAGCCTAAAACTCAAATCCCTGACAAACATAAGGGTTCTTGGCCTGCTAGGACGGAACTGGACATTTTCGGGTGATATATTGACGTGCAAAAAACATCAATAATAAATCTTCATGTGACGATTTCGAGGATTTGAGCTTGGACTGCCAAGGTGTCATCTCTGTTAAAAAGGATCTTGATGGGGGGTCACAAGTTGGTGGTTTGTAGACCCTCAACAGATGTCATTGTATACGATGGAATATGAGGGAAATCAAAACAACAAAAGGAATTCGGTCACACATCACTTCTTGAATCGGTGTGGGAAGGGTATGGAAAGGGTGACCACTGAGATGACTTGTCTTTGATACGATTTTTTGGGTCTATCTCATTACGAAGGCTTAAGAGTGGATGATGATGGGGCCTGGTCGCAGGCCTTTCCATCTCTAAACTATAGTGATGTTCTTGTTTACCCTTACTATCCCTACTGGGACATACTGGGAGAAAATTTAAACTATAACCTACTAGCAATGGCCTCCAACCTGCTAGCGATCCTTACTGGGACATACTGGTCCGCCGCCCTGAGCTTCCGCCCGGGAGGGCTCCTTTGAGATGGTGGCGGTGATGGAAAACGGACATTGCCACGCATGGCATCGCGGAACTGATTTCTTCAACAAAATCACATTAAAACCCTCGAAAAATGAGCAACTTGTCCCCAGATCTGGGCACCCGCGGGCACCCACACTCCCGGTGGTCTCATCCCAGCCCGACTGGGCCCCCATTGGTTGCTCTTCGCCTGGCAGCGTTGCCTCACGTCTGAGACTTGGGCCTGCAGCCTGACCGCCGGTGCCAAATCAAATGATGAGTCTGAAACCTGGCTGGTGCTGCTACACTGAGAGTGTCAGCTTCTACACTGGGTGAGTTTCCGGAGTTATGCCAAAACTAAGTTGTGCTCCTGATGTCCTCCGTGCAGCGCCTGCAGCGATAGGAACAAAACAAACAGCTGTTCGATGTGTCCGGATGTTCCGAAACACGGGACCCGTGCGCCGCATTGGAAGGCGAAGACAGAGAAACCTCTTCAAATCCACAGTCCCACATAGGTTCGAGCTTCCTTTTTTCTACGGGGGTCACGACCGTGGTAGGCTTTGTTTTGGGTGGTTTTTCCAAAGAAAACGCGGTGCCCTGCTGTGGTTCCTTCCCCCAGAACAAGAACTGACTGCCCCAGTGAAAGTATTTGCATGGCGGCTATGACTGTCAGGGTCGTGGATCTTTGGTCAGTCAGGGTCGTGCCGAAGAAATCGTCTTTGCTAGAGTACCAGAATCCACAAGCGCCCTGATTATATGTACATGTTCTTCATGTATTTCTGCATAAAACGAGCGAGAGAGAGAGAGAGAGAGCGCGCGCCAGGGAGTACAATTGTGACCTGTAACTTGGAAAATCGATTCACCCAGACACCACGGCCACCAAAAGCAGCATGTCCATACTGGAGGTTGTCGTCCACCGAATATCCATGCTTTAGGCAAATCAAAAAGGTCTTCCATTGTCTTTGAGGAGGCCGTATTTTTTGTGATGAGAAGCTTGCACCGCCTGAGAGTTTCTCAAAGCCTCACCGTACTTCGACTGGTTTGGGGTCAAAAATGGTTGGAGGAAACAAGTGCATCAAAAAAAAGTACCTCAAAGAGTGTTCTCCCAATCAACGCAAACCTGTCACCTACCTAACCTATACATCACCTGATCCCAGGCTTCACCTCAAAGAGTTGTAACCTCCAGGTTCTTTTACTTCATTGCGTTCTTTCTTTACACAACTTTCATCCACAGGGGTGCCACAGCAAGGCCGACCCTCCCTCTCCCCCCACTTCCTCGTGCCCTCGTGCCTGGCGTTCTCGCCACGGATGGCCTTTTGGAGCCCCCAAAAGCAAGGTCGTTGGGGCGGGGGGGGGAGGGGGAGAGAGAGAGAGAGTTAGAGTTGACCTGCACTCAGAAAAGCAACTGCTTTTCAGGAGTGCATCTCCAATTTTTGGGTGCACTTTGTGAGGACGGGTGATGGGCCAGATGCCGAGTGCCTGTGTGTTTTTCCCGAACATGCTTCCTAAGATTTCCTAAGGATGGGTATGGCACCGGTTGCAAAACGGACTTTTCTGACCTGCGACTGCCTGTTGTTGGAAATGATTCAAGAGTTCCGCCGTGGCATCCGAATCTCGCAATTCCCTCAACTGGTCACCGAGAGCTTTTGACGCGTCTTCCTCTTCACACTCCCCCTGCGTTCGCCGCGTCCGCTTTCAGTTCAAGCCGGCGCCGCTGCCGCCAGAGTTTCCTCGCCTCTAAGCTCTGCCGTTGTCGCTCCAAGCTGCGCTCCAAGCCATCGGCGCTCCGCCGCTGGCCATTCAGCTCCTGGCGCCGTCACGGTGGACGGAGGGATGGTCGGGTCACGGTCGGCGCCACCGTGCGAGCACCAGGAGACAAGGGGTCTTCACCCAGGAAACCAGGGTGGAACTGACCTTAAAAAGGCTGGTTGGGGAATGGGAAGGTAGTAGTCTGATGACTGAGCAAAGGACCTTTTCTTCACCAAGCCACCAAACTTTCCTCCCCTTTCAGCTCTGCTACTTGGCCCAATTATCTCGATTTGCACCCCACAGGCCGGCAGGCCTTTCCAAACGACGCGGGCCCCAACCAAAAAGCAAACTTCAAAAATCACATGTCACCCCAAAATCCACCTTCTTCCGCCTAAATATAGGACGCCTTGACTTGATGTCCCCTCTATCTTAAAGCCCTTCGCCGCTCAGCCGACCCCGAAAACGGCGGACCGGTGCGGTGCACCGTGCTCGGCGCGGCGCCTGGAAACCGCTTTCCAAGCGCTGCTGCAGTTCCTGCAGCTCGCGCGCCTCCTGGGCCAGCGCCTCCACGGAAGTGCCGGCCACGGTTGGATGGTGGGATCGGGTTCGTCGGTTCGGGGGTGGGCACCGTTGAGGTGTTTTTGGGGGGGACTGAGTCTTTCTGCGGCTGGTAGAAGGCATGAGAGAATGAGGGAATGAGGACCTGAATGGTATTCGTTCCTTTTGGATCCGGCCATCCTCCAAGGGAACCAAGTTGCTGTTGCACCGTTTTGGTGGAGCATCTATATTTGCACATATGAAGTTGGTTGGCTAACAAAAGCAGCAATAACCACAATGGATGTACCAAACGGCCACCTCAAAGTCTCCCACCAAAAAGAAACAGCGGTTGTGTTCATATGTGTTTTGCCAGCTGTTTGCTGTCTCGTTGCTTTGTATAGATGATGTGTGTTGTTGTGGTTCCCATCTGCGCTTTTTGACATCCGAAATCGCTGAAACTTCGCCTCCGTCAATGGCATTATGCTGGCCAACTTTGCCTGTTCATTACGCTGTTCCAGGACACTCAAACGTTCAGTGAGCCTCTGGTAGGAATACCCAAATATTGGTGGAAATCTGACAAACAGCTCAGCAGTGTGGCGGGCTCCAAGAGAGGAAGAAAGGATTGCGAATTTGGGTTTCAAGTTCTTCTCCACGCTGCATCCAAAAAATTGAGGAAACACTGCAGCAACTCTTGTGACTTCAGAACC